AAGTCAAATAAAGAAAGAAAAGAGATATGTTGTTTCAAAAACCCCAGCCTCCGACTTCCAAGTGGCAGTGTGCTACTTTTCACTTTTCTGGCTTATAAGAAGCAAAGTTCTTTAGATTTCTTTTAGTGAGATTTAATAACAAGTAATAGGAAGAATTGTTAAAATAAGAAGGAAGGTTTTAATCCAGAAGTCAAAAAAATAAAGCTACAAAGAGCAGAAGAAAAAATCAATCCATTCACTTTAAGAGGGGAAATGAGAAACATTGCAAGCACTTCAATCCACAAAGAATAGTTATAAAGAAAAAAAAGCTTTCCACAGCAATCCAATTAGGGTTAATTTTACTGCTCAGTTCTTTTGCTTAAGAATCTAATTTGGCTTTAAAGAAAATTTTCTTTGGGCAGTCTTTAGCAAAATAGAAAAAATACCTCACCAGATGGACTCACTTTCTCTTTCCACTTCCTTCCTTCCGGAGTGTCTCGATTTCATCAGCCTGGAAGCTGCCTGTTTACCACCGGCTTGAAGCGCTTCCCTTGGGTCGATCAGGGACTTTGTGATGTCCCTGAGACTAGCAAGGCTTTGTCTTCCTGATCACCATTTCTACGGGATGGTTTAGATCTCAATGGACCATCCAGAGGCAAAAGTGTCAATGGCGGTCTCGGAGTATCGAGACCACACAATGTGACATCACGACATGGCTCCTCGTTCTTCCCCTAATCATCTTTGTTGCTCTTCTCTGCACTCTTTCTAGAGTCTCCACATCTTTTTTTACATCATGGCAACCAAAACTGAATGCAATATTTCAAGTGTGGCCTTACCAAGGCATTATAAAGTGGTATTTTACGTGATCTCTGTTTATGTAGCCTAGAACTGTGTTGGCTTTTTGGCAGATGCTGCTGCACACTGGCTCATATTTAAATGGTTGTCCACTAGGACTTCAAGATCCCTCTCACAGTTACTACTACTGAACAAGGTACCACCTATACTGTACCTGTGCATTTCATTTTTCTTGCCTAAATGTAGAACCTTACTATTTTCACCATTGAATTTCATTTTATTAGATAGTGCCCAATGTTCAAGTTTGTCAAGATCCTTCTGTATCTTAAGCCTATCTTCTGGAGCGTTGGCTATTCCTGCCAGCTTGGTGTCATCTGCAAATTTGATGAGTTCCCCATTTATTCCCTCATCCAAATCATTGATGAAGATGTTGAAGAGTACTGGGCCTAAAACAGAGCCTTGGGGTACTCCACTGCATACTTCCCTCCATGTAGATACAGTTCCGTTGAGGACCACATATTGATCAGCCAAATCTATCTGGTGGTGATGCTGTCTAACCCTCACTTTTCTACTTTGTCTAATATAGGTTATGGACTACTTTATCAAATGCCTTACTGAAGTCCAAATAAATTTTAATGCAGATGTCTCTATCAGCATGCCTTCCCTATTTTTTTTAAAGTAGACACAACAAATGCCGACTTTCAAAGATGATTATATTTTATTTGGGAAATTATGTTGAATGAACAGCTGGTCCTATCATTTCAGTATTAAATTATTCCAGCCCATTACACTTTTTCATTGTCCCACCACTCTATTGTTATATTTGGGTGCACCATGGGAAGAGGTAGTAATGGATAAAATATCAAGTTGGCAACTTTGACTATATGATTGAAGTCATATCCTTTTTTAAGTAAAAATAGGGCATGTGTCTATCATGCAGTTGCAGCTATCACTTTTTGACCACCTGTGTGGACACATATTGTTTTGTTACATCAACCTAAATAAACTAAATTGATAAAATAAAATCAACATTGAGAGCAGATGGCTGAACACTTTAGAGTTGCTACCTTGATGCCATCCAAGAGGGATCACCTGATTTTGATACCAGTGTAGTGGATGACAAAACGTAACAGACTTTACATGTTTTGTGACCAGAGGTTGGTTACTCCCAGTTTTGGTACTGGATCGCTTCATGTGCTCTGCATGCGTGCACAGGTCAATGTAAATTGTTCTTTGCACATGCACAGAATAATTACAGTGAAGTGTGCATGCGCATGCACTACTAAACGGTTCCACCACAAAACCGCGGTAGATTAAAGCGCGCTCGACGAAAGCGTGTACGTGACGTCATCACAGCGCAACGAAAACAGCACGCTGTGAGCGGTAAACTTAAAATTAACACGTAAATCTAAACCTAACCCCCCCAAACCTAACCCTAAACCTAACCCTAAGCCTAACCCTTAACCTAACCCTAAACCTAACCCTATACCTAACCCTTAACCTAATGCTAAACCTAACGCTAACCCTTAACCTAACCCTAAACCTAACCCTAACGCTTAACGTAACCCTAAACCTAACCCTAACCCTTAACCTAACCCTAACCCTAAACCTAACCCTTACCTTTATGTGAATCGGCTTGCTTTAAAAGCGCTTTTTAAAGCGCCCTTTTTTCTCTGTGGTCGTATTTGTCGCGCTGCTGATGGCGTCAGGTACACGCTTTAATCGGGCGCACTTTAGTGGACCATGGTTTTGATGGGTCACGCTACTAAACAACATGCCAGCAATGACAGCAGTGACCAGGGAACCGTGGCCAGCCTGGGTCACTACTAGTTCTGTGTCCCATGCCAAAATACCACTACTGGTTTGGCCAAACTGGGCTAAACCAGGAGCAACCCACCTCTATTGTGGGTGATTAATGGTATAATTTGTGATTATACCATTCAGGATTACGGTAAAAAAGGATTCAACTAAGAGTGAGATATCTGATTCATTAATGGACTGGGAATTAAATGAAAACAATTTCAGGGAGTGATGGCAGAAAAAAAAGTTATGTTACCAAGACGTGTTTGTACCATAATTCAATACAAGAAGAAAGGTTCTGAGTTTTAACAAGAGTAATTGGTAATTTTACTTATTTCAGTTTGTTCATTTTGATTTTAGGAAATTGGATGGTTTGATGATCACAATAATGCTATTGGAGTTTTGTTAACCAGACTTTCAACAGATGCTTCCCAAGTTAAAGGAGTATGTTTTTTGCTTATTATTTTTATATTTTCATTGGTATTATAATTATCTTGGTGTCAATAAGAGACTGCTGCATGAAACAGCAAAATAAATCCATTATTTGAATCATTTTCACATTCTAAATACATCAGTCCATGTTTGTTTTGTGTCTTCAGACAATTATTCTATTTGTACTTTCTAAAATAGTCTTCTTGTGAATGATACATTCTACAAGACTCCAAGTTCCTATGAATCAGTTTGGCATTGAAGCTATAACTTTGTCAACTAATTTATTGGCTTTGCAGTTTTGCCAAATGATATCATATATGCATAAAGAAATGACTCTGCATCAATTCCATAGTACATTTATACAAATTCCAATGGGCAGTTTCAACTGAAGTGAACTTTCCATGCATATACCTTTATACCTTAGCAAGACATAGATACATTGTGTTTTCACAGAAAAAGAAAGGCTGTGAGCCTTCAGATGTGCTAAACCATCTGAATATTTACATATAAACATATAAAATCAGATTGATACTATATGGTATCAATCAATTATTACAGAATCTAATAGTTCTGGTTGAGATACCATGAAGCCTTCTCCCAGAAGATAGCCTTATTGTGAATGTTATAAAAAGAATGCTTTATTGCTGAAAAGGTATAATTTGTTTTTCTTGTTTATTTTCAAGGCTACTGGAAGTCGACTGGCCTTAATGACCATGACTTTCTTCACACTCGTGACAGCTCTTATCATTGCTTTTGCAAATGGTTGGCAATTAACGCTGCTCATCCTAGCTTGTATTCCCTTCATCCTTGTTGCAAAGACTTTTCAAATGAAATCGATGACAGGTCATGCAGCTCAGGATCAAAAAGCCCTTGAAGAAGCTGGAAGGGTATATTCTACGTATATAAACCTATGGATAAGATTAAGGGTATAGTGGTGACAAGCAGGCAGGAAATGTCCTATGATTTGAACTTTCCATAGAGTTACATCCATTCACTATTTCAGTAATATCTGAATCTACTTAAGTATGTCTTTAGCAGTGGTGGGATTCAAATAATTTAACAACCAGTTTGCCCAGGGTCAGGTTGGCTGTTGTGGGAGGCATGGCCCATCCCTGTACTCCAGCTCCACCACATATGTGGGACAAACCTTCTGCGACAGCCAACCTGACCTTGTGGGAACCGGTTGTTAATTACCACCCCCCCCCCCCATATCAAAGTGAATCCTGGGTGCTGCACTCCAATGGAGAAATGGATAATGGAGTGTCCAGCACAAGGGAAGGAGGAGGGAAAGCAGCCTTCTCCTTCCCTCATACCAGCCACTCTGTTGCCCATTTCTCCATTGCAGCGCAGTGCCCAGGATCAACTTTGACAGCTGGGGTTAGGTAATTTAATAAGTGGTTCACCTGAACCAGTGCGAACAGGCTGAATCGCGCCATTAGTCCTTAAGTCTTCATTTTTCTCAGTAGTGCTTCTTCAGGAAAACATAGTCTATTTATAGACATGCCACCCTTTCTCAGAATGTACTTCAGGCAGTGCAATGTGAAATCACTTAACTCAAACTCAAAAACTTCTGTACACTGAAGCAAATAATCTGGGGAGAAGCATAATTTGAAAACTAAATTAAACACGCCTGCAGGAATCTGGCTGTCTGGATGTTGTACAATTGAAATGTCTATCCTTCTTTTTGTATACTGACTAGAGCTACTGAGAGTTGTTCTTTAAAATGATTTGACAAGCACGGGTTCCCCTTGACCTCCATTGCAAGATTCCTTTGTGCTCCATTGCAAGATTCATTGCACAAAACTAAAAAATGCCTTCTCAAAGAGGGAGTCACCAATTCACCAATGCTTAACATTCTTTGCTCAGCAGAATGGGAAAACAAAGAAGTACTTTATCTCATATTTTCTGTTTTGCTTTCTGGAGAGGGAAAAAAACATCAATTCTTACCCCCCCCATCTTTCCCTTCATTATGAAGAACATAGGGGAAGAGTGAAGAGATTTCAGAAAGTTAACTAACTAGTAGAAGATTTCTTCAAAATGGAATGGCAGAGATTTAACTTGCTGGTCTGCATTGCCTTTGGAGATAAACCAAACAATAAATATAATTGTCTAAACTCTAGTTTATTTAACAATAGTTTAATAAATCACAATTGTCTGGATTTACACATGATAAATTATGAGCCATTCATTATAAAAACATGTTTTATAGTATGCTATCCCATGGGTTTTGTACTTTAGGTAGATATTGCTATACATCACATTTGTAGGCCAGTGAATGCCTTATATTTTCCCTTTCTCCCCAAATCTAGATTTCAACAGAAGTTGTAGAAAATATAAGAACTGTTGTGGCATTAACAAGAGAAGATAGATTTTTTGAGAACTACAAAGCAAGCTTATATAAACCACACAAGTAAGAATTTTATTTCTTAATACTTTTTGTATGTGAGTTTGTATGTATATATATATATATATATGTTGTATGCATATTCCTCATTGGAGTCACTACTTTAAATTGATTTTTTAAAAAAACAATTTCTTTAAAAAAGCATCAATAAAAATGAATGAATCTAAACATACACATACACACTCATACTGTTACAAATTGAACTGGAGCAATAGGGTCCACCAAGGTCCTCCATTCCGGCGGGAAAATACTCAAAGCCGATTGGCTGAGCCATCTGACAGCTCCCTATAAAAGGGCTAGTTGTGAGACAGGCCACTGCTGGATTTGTAAATAGTTGTCTAATAAAGAGCTTTCCATTGTCATGGAAGCCTGAGTTCTGTCTCATCCGTTCACCCGATATAACACATACATATAAATACACTTATACATATACATTGCATACATAGCAGTAATGTAGCTCACCCAAAGACACAAATGAAATTGTAACATAAAATTTTAACATCTACATTTAATGTTTCTATCCAGAATATTTTGACAAATAAGATGACCTGCTGAGGAAGGTATTATTAACATAACTCAGTGTTTCTAAACCTCAGTAACTTTAAGAGATTGTATTTCAACCTCCCGGAATTTGGGAGTTGAAGTCCACACCTCTTGATAAGGTTAATCAACATTATAATTAATAAATTGTGGTCAGTTTTGAATTTTATGATTGATTGTGATTTATATAAATTATTTTCTTTTATTAGGGACATACTAAAGAAAGCTCCTATTAATGGCTTATCCTATGCCATAGGCATGAGTTTCAACTTTTTTATAAATGCTGCTGTCTTCAGTTTTGGAGCATGGCTTATTGCCCATTGTTTTATGAATTTTGAACAACTGTTTATGTGAGTATATTAATTTTTATGGAGGGTAATGAAAATATGAACTGAGGTTATCAATTTTCATAGCTCAATATGTGGATATATGTGTACTTTTAAAGCAAAAACACTCACTGAAGTGAAGGAAAAGTTCATATTATTAATGCCTTAGCCATGTCAATAAACTGTGTAAGGAAAGGCTTACACAGTGAGCACATAAATATGCCATTATCTAGGCTGCCTTTTGTTGTTTTTCTTACAACCTAAAAATAATTAACACAAATAATTTTCAAATGTAAAATTATGAATTTGAAGAATTTGAAATATCAATAGTTTTTTGTATTCTCTCAGATAATTTTTCAAGATTTTGTACAAAAACCTGGAAATTCTACAAAATAAGAGACATCAAGATCTCTGAGATGAGATTGCTAAATCTCATGAATGACTATGGAGATTCTCAATCTTCCAAGTCATGGTTGTCCCAAAGATGCTTTTTCAAGAGGCAACTGGACTTTCTTCTTTTTCTCTGAAAACATTTTGCTTCTAATCCAAGAAGCTACTTCAGCTCTGACTAGATGGTGGGCAATGGAAGGATGTATAAAGAAGCTGAAGAAGCTTCTTGGATGATAAACAAAATGTCTTCAAAAAAACCCCCCAGAAAGTCCAGTTGCCTCTTGAAAAAGCACCTTTGGGATAAATCTCATGAGATTTCCTCCCGCCTCCCCATACACCCCCCCCTAAAGTTGGAGAATTTCCATTTCTATGGTATTATTTGTTTATTAGTTTATTGGCATTTGTGTCATTGTGTGACATCACAAAATGACGCACCAGCTGAAAGGTTATTGGTGTCATACACAAGGAATTGGGAATATATACTTCTATATAAGTCTCACATGGTCTGGGCAAATTACAATTAAATCATAAACAAAACGAAAAAAACACAAAATAAAATAGCTATACAAGCAATAAGAAATGTTGAAACAATTAAAAGCAATTAAAACTATGCAATGCAGTCACTGGGAAAGCATATGAACAGTACAGCCACTTTATGGGCTCCTCATCACTTTCCAGTTCCCAGGTCAGATATCAATGTCAGTCTTCATGCCCTTCTAGAAGGCAATCAAGGTTAGGGTGAGCTGAACCTTTTGGTGAATAAGTTTATATAGCACAGGGAGAAGCAGAAAGGGTCCTTCTCCTGGGTCCTGTCAGATGACACTATCTAGTGGACAAAATGTACAACAAACTACTTCTGTCAGATCTGATGGGATGGGTCGATGTCACTTAGGAGATGCAGTTCCTCAATAGCCCTGTCAGCTACATATAAGATAAAAATGACAGCTTCTGATAGTTTGTGGGAATCACAAGATTCTAAAAACCTTTTGCTGAAGAGCAACAATGAAAAAGGATTGTTCTTTTCATTTTCTGTTTAAGTTATAGTGATAATTGGGGCATAATTTCAGTATCTACCTTAATAGCTTTTACTAATATCTATCAAGACTTGTGAAGAGCTAAAATTTTGCGATAGAGTATTTAATGTAAGTGTATCACTGAGAAGGGAACTTTTTCTTAAGTTATCCATTATAAACTTTGATCTTGACAAAAGATCATTTTGAATTCCAAATTCTCTCTTTTGCAACATAACATCTTAGCTTTTGTATGTTCTTATTTTTATTGATTGATGGATAGTTAGTTTTGCCTGATAGGAAAATCTTTGAGTTATGAAGAACATTGTCATAAGGCATATACGTACCTTTCTAAGATTCCTTGTGATTCCTCCAACAAATACATAGAGAATTACTGCCACAAAAACAAGCTCTTGACTTAAATTGAATACTATTCTTCTTGAATAGTATGAAATCCTTTTTCTTCAATTTTTCAAATTAGATTGCACTGCAAGCTCTAGTTTTTATTCAAAATTTCAATGCATATTATAGCCAAAGCTACAGATACAATGTTCTACTTGATCTTATTTAATACTTAATATATAGTATGCTCTATTTCCAAGATATAAAACTCAGTAAATTGTTCTGTTTAAAGAAACTGACTTTATAAAATTCAGGTTGCAAAATCAGTGCCATTTACAGATGGCTTCAACAAAGTTACTTAAAAGTTTACATTTATATCCTTTTCTGATACACCTCTTTCATATTTTTGTTTTATATTTCCAGAGTTTTTTCATCAGTGGTTTTTGCTGCAATGAATGCTGCCCAAGTTAATTCTCTTGCACCTGATTTTAGCAAGTCAAAGGTTTCTGCCCAAAGAATATTTCACCTTTTGGATCAAAAGCCTGTAATTGACAGCTATAGTGAAGAAGGAGATAAATTAGTAAGATCTTACAGCTTATGCTGTCTTTAATATATTGAGTTGACATATTTTAATAGTATGATGGCAATTAGCAATACTAACTTAGGAACTTTGGTTTCTGCAAATTTGATTATGCATGTGTATAATTATCTAGTAAATGAATAAACCAGTGTTACATTCAATACTATGCAATACATATCATTTTAAAATCAGAAACTTATTTCTGAGAAAAACTACTCTATAAAAGTTTTCCTCCAGTCTCTTTGTTTCAATGGGAAATTTAAGTCATTCTTAAATTAAAGTTCACCTTCATTGAATTGTCCCCTCATATTTTAATGCATTTAAAATATTTACTGCATTGTACATTGTAAACAATAAAAGGAGTAACAGAAGAGAGCCATTCATCATGTGTGGAAATGACCTAGAAAATATATATTGCCTTAAGTAGAATAGCCATTTTAAAAAATGGGGAAATTCCTATATTTCACTTTTTTCTTTATTTCAGTTAATTTAAAATAATGTTAGACTGCTCATGTAAAAGTCAAATAATGGAAGTTGTTTTAATATACTATTTTAATTCATAAGATCTGGAGAATAAAAGTTTGAAAAACTATTCTAGTCCATATCAAAATTTTATTTCTATAAATATGTACAGGAGGGAACTACATTATTGTTATTGCTGCAGCGATTCCACCACTAATTATATTATTACAATTAGTACCACAGGAGAAATACCGGGGGGGGGGGGGGGACACACAGAACATTGTGCAAAATCATAGCATTGTTATGTTTGTTCTCATCATTTCTTCATCTCTCCCTGCTATAGGAGAAATTTGAAGGCAACATTGAATTTAAAGATATCCATTTTGCATATCCAACCAGACCAGAAGTTCAGGTTTTGCAAGGGCTCAATATAAAGATTAACAAGGGCCAGACCCTGGCTCTCGTGGGTAGCAGTGGCTGTGGCAAGAGCACTTCTATTCAACTTCTAGAGCGATTCTATGACCCAGTGTCAGGACAAGTGGTAAGTAAACCTTGGTTCTACTGAAAACATTTCTGTGGCACATGAAGAGATATAATAGTTCTTCTCTGTCAGTAAAATTGATCATGAACCTTTATAATAATCCAGGCCAGATAGACAGTTTGATAAAAGAATGTGAACATTTTGGAAATCTTGACTACTATTTTAATGTGATTTGTGATAAAGCTGAAGTGTGGGGAAAGTGTGTCAGAGATCTGTACTGGACTAACAGTGATATCTGAAATAATGTAATTGGGAAAAAGTACTACAAATGTTAGCATTCCAGAGAAAACAAAAGGCAGGAATTTGTACAGTAAACCATGTAAGAAGGTAGAAGAGCAAACCAGATGCAAGTGTAGTCAGTATAGTTAGAAAAATATTAAAATATGGGGTTTGCCTACAGAGTACATCTGTGGCTTTCTTACCTTAGCTTTTTCTGCGCCCACCAACTGAAGAATATGTAGTTATTGTGTCTTTATAAAATGGCAAAATAAAACAATAGTGAATTTAACAACTATAGGAGGATTAGTTTGTTAAATGTGCCAGGGAAGATGTTTGACAAGTAAAAGAGATAATGATGAGCAACATTTGGGGAGTACAGGTTGGTTTTACTACAAGTAAATGATGTCCCTAGACTGGGATTTCACTATTCAGATGGTCATTTGTAAGCATTTGCCTGAGAATCTAAATAATGTGCAGCAAATTTACATAGATTGTGTTGTCATCATCATCATCATCATCATCATCATCATCATTTCAGCCATTGTCTATTCACTGCATGATGAAGGGCTCTTCTGCCTGTTAAGTGAAATGTCTATGGGAAAGAGTATGCTTTTGCTAACTGTGTTACCATGAAAGTGAAAAATGGGTAATTGAGAAGAAACAAAGGATTTGAATGCACTGCCAACATGATATTTAAGAAATTGGGCAGTTTAATAAGAACAAGTGGATTAAGAATGTATGAATTCTGAATTAATGTGGATAAAATACAAATGCATCACAAACGAAGTATACTACAGTTATTTGGTTATATAGAGAGAATGAAAGAGAATAGAATCCCCAAAACCTATATGAAAGAAAGCAGGAATGGGTAGAGAAGAAAGAGAAAATAAGTAAGTTATGGTTGGACAGACTTGATGGAATCTCAAAAAGGAAGTGAAATGTACAGAAGAAAAAGTAATGTATTAGGCAGGATGTGTAAGCAAGTGAGTCAGTTTGATATAATAGTTAATGTCCTGGGCTAGAAAGAGGAAAACCAAGAGTTTTAGTCCTGCCTTAGATACAAAGTCAGCTGGATAATCTTGGGCAAATCACTCTCAGCCCTTGGAAGAAGGTAATGGCAACCAACTTCTAAAATCTTGCAAGAAGACTGCAGGGAGTAGCTCAGGCAGTTAGCAGGATTCAACACTGACTGGAAGCCCCTCTCAAAAAAAGTAGTATACAGTGGAAACAAGGATAATTTCCAAGGACAGAAAAGTATAAAGAATAAGAAGATACCATGAATTATATTGGTGAAAACTAAATTTAGTTATATATTTTTTCTTACAATACTTTATTTTGCTTACTATTAGTTTTTTTTTATTTGCTTTACATCAAGTTGCTTATTCCAGAGAAGAACAGTGCGTAGGTATGTCTACTTGTAGGGAGTATATTTTTAACTTTGTCATGAAAAGTGTCATGTTTTCCTTGCTATTTCCAGATTGCAGATGGTGTAGATATCAAATCTCTACATATACAGTGGCTAAGATCCAGACTGGGACTTGTACAACAAGAACCTATTCTGTTTGACTGCAGTATTGCAGAGAATATCCAGTATGGAGATAACAGCAGAGTTGTTAGCCAGGAAGAAATTGAAGAAGCAGCCAAAGCAGCCAATATTTACAATTTTATAGAAAATCTTCCAGAGGTATCTAGCATCTTTTTTCTGCATGAAATTAATTATTGCAGCTGGTATAGATATTAAATTAATGACCAGCAAAACAAAGAAGTAAATAAATACAAAACAAGGCTATTTTTTTAAAAAATCAACTGATAATTTTACAGGTAATGCAGGTAACATAACCTCATTTGAAATCTATAACTCGGAACTTAGAAAAGGTTTGGGAACTTATGCCAAATGTAGGGTTACCAAACAACCACCAAGAAGAGGACATATTCCTCTTTGTGTCCTCTTGTTCTCTGTTTGACAGGCATAACCTTAAAATCAATGTTAGCTGGGTTTTTGAGTGTCTGGGTTTTTTGGATTGTGTTCACAACAATAGTCATTGACATTTTTGTGTATCACAACCATGTAAATTTTCTACTTCACTTGCTCCCTAGTTTGTCAAGTGATTTAAAGAGTCTAGATTTTAATTATTTATTTTGTGGTGCAGGAGTGAGCTTCAGTCTGGCCCCTTCAAATCTATTATCATTGTAATCTGAAGATCATATGATTCATCATGTGCTTCTAGGCTGAAATTTGAAAATTGTCATCACTGATTCCATACTATCATTAGCATATATATAAAGATTTGTTGAAAAAATATTTTGACTGAATAAATATTTTTTCTGATGCTGAAAAAAGTCATTTTTTAAAAAATGTCAATCAAGAATTTGCTACACAATTAGTGTGGCACCAGATTGAAGAAGTTTCTATTCCTGTAAAAAATGGCAAAATTGTATTTTAAAGATTAGGAAACTGATTTGTTATCATCTAAATCATTATCATTTGTTAATGGTATTTACATTCATTTTTCTTTCTTCCTAATTTATAAACATTACTTGATATTAGAATTATGAAAACTATCTTTGGACTCTTGACTCTCTTACAATACCAACATTGTTCTATTTTTAAAAACCAGAAATACAATACTCGAGTGGGTGATAAAGGAGCACAGCTTTCAGGAGGACAGAAGCAAAGAATAGCTATTGCTCGTGCCCTTGTCCGAAAACCAGCAGTTCTTCTTCTAGACGAGGCCACATCAGCTCTGGATACAGAGAGTGAAAAGGTGAGTAAACTAGCCATAGCTGACTTCCTACTGCATGGGTAAGCAATTTTCCATTGTTTGAGAAATGACCTAAACTGGGGGGGAGGGGGTTGTACCGCTAGTGCTTTTATAAGGATATTTCTCTTTTGTCTTTGAGTACAGGTTGTCCAGAAAGCATTAGATGAAGCTCGAAAAGGCCGAACCTGCATTGTTATTGCTCATCGATTGTCAACAATCCAGAATTCTGATATCATAGCAGTCATCCAAAATGGCAGTGTAGTTGAACAAGGAACTCACAGTCAGCTACTGGCATTGGAGGGATTTTATTATGCACTTGTCAATGCCCAAGTATCCCATTAGTTGTATTTATTAAACCAGAAACAGAAGTTTGCAGAAGTTAGCCCAAGATGTGATATGAAAAACCACTATTCACCAAGTCCAAAGCAGGTTTGGGTTTGGGTTTTCAAACAGCAATCCATTTTGCTACATTGAAAGATAAGTACTAATAATGTGTTGTAAGTGGATCTCTTGTTCAAAATTTATACTTTTCATTCTTATTTCAATTTTTTTTGGCACAACCCCTTTAGCACACCAAAAATTATTCATTGAATCCCAGTCAACGTGAAAAATGACTGTTGCATGTTCCGTTATCAAGAAATTCTCAGGTGCCTGCAAATGCAAAGTTCAGATAGTTGGGCTACTTATGTGAAGAAGAAGAAAAATACTTATTTATATACTGCTGTGTTACAATTTGTTTTTTATAATGATGCTGATGATAATTTAGGTAAGAGTAATAAAAATGTTACAAAGCTCCATAATGTTCAACTGCATAATGAAATTCAATGAGGTGATAAAGCATATCTAAAAGTAATCAGTTCAGTCCAACTAAAAATATCTTATATAAGATAAGATATAAGTTAATATAAATTTCCAAAAACAATTAAATCTAGAAAATCAAATTCCAGAAATCCTGGAAGCAGAAAGTAAGTTATTGACTCTAGCAGATGTTCCAGTGGAACACATATCAAACTTTTAACTTCAAGAAATAATATACAGAAAACATCCTTAAAAGATCTAAGAAATACATAATCTCTTTTTCCTCTTTATTCAAAAGGAATGAACCAAGAAATTTTAGAAAAATCATTTTTAATTGGCTTTATGAAAAACAAATTGGTATAATTTTGCTACACAATAGAAACACAAATTAGTATCAAAATGATATATCTGCTAATATAATTTTGTAATCATTGAGGAATGCTTCAGAATCTCACTAGCACAGTAGCTTTATGTGTTTGTTTTGTATTCCTAAGTACACAATTGCTGTAAGTATGACTTTCTCTTCCATATTAACTTTTCAGCTGCTATTAGAAATCAGGAGAATATCCAGTGCAGTTTTGTTAAATTACAGTTTTTGATTGTTGTCTTTAACTAATTTATTTTATTTAGCATTTGGCAATGTAACAATATCTTGCAGACTACAATGTTAGCACAAAATAGTAGGTTTTGGCTGCCTGAGACTGCTAACCCATTTTGTTCATGCTTGCACACTGTCCATAGTGCATCACAGAGGATGAGGTAGATTCACACCAGAAAGAAAGATGCACAGCATCCAGCAGCCGGATCCAGGCCCTTCTTCCTCCACCAAAGTCATCTTACAAAAAAGTGCTGCATCTGTTGCATCTCGGAAGGTCCATAATCAGCAGAGTTCTGACCATCCACACGAAGCACCGGGTTTATTTCCCTCTGACGTGGTACCTATTTATCTTCTTGCAAATATGCTTTCAAACTGCTAGATTGGCCAAAGCTGAGGAGTGTAACAGGAGCTCACCTCGCCATGCAGACTCAAATCACCAGAGCAGAGACCATTTCCGGTATCATTAAGACACTGAGCCACAGCTCCTTCTGTTAATAATTTGACTAATTAGGTTATTCCACAAACATTTTGCAAATTAGTATTCTGTTAAACAATACACATTGTAGGTTTGTAGTATCACAACAGAAAAGAATATTTGTAGCTCAGGATTGAACTGTGCTCTTTGAGCTTGGTTGTTTTCTTGCAAATGTTTTATTATCAAACTACATAACATTGTCAGTGCTAATGGGAAGTGGGATTTACTCTCATTTTATACAGCATTTAGACTTATATACTGCTTCATAGTGCTTTTACAGCCCTCTCTAAGTGGTTTACAGTCTCAGCATATTGTCTCCAACAATCTGGGTCCTCATTTTACCAACCTCGGACCGATGTAAGGGTCTTGAGCCGGTCAGGATCGAACTCCTGGCAGTGAACAGTGAGTTAGCCTGCAATACTGCATCCTAACTACTGCATCATCACGGCTCTAATATACTGATGACTTGCCCTGTCAATGTTGGTGGGAGTGGTCTTGGTGGCTCCTTGATTGATTCCTGTTGATTACTGTCTGTCAGTGTTGATGCCATTTAGTTGTAATATGGAAAGTCCTCAATCCACAACAGTTAATTTAGAGACCATTCAAAATTACATCGTGGTTGAAAAAAGTGACATGACTATTTTTCACATTTACAACCATTGCAGCATTCCAAAGGTCAGGTGGTCAAAATTCAGATGCTTGACAACTGACTCATACTTATGATGGTTGCAATGTCCCATGGTCATGTGATCACCTTTTGTGATTTTCTGTCAAGAAAAGTCAATGGGAAAGCAAGATTCACTTAACAAACACGTTACTAACTTAACAACTGCAGTGATTCACTTAACAACTGTGGCGAAAATGTTGTAAAATTGAGTAAAAATTACATAATATATGTCTCACTTAGCAACAGAAACGTTGGGCTCAATTGAGGTCGTAGACCGAAGACTACTTATAGTCTGTTGGTGGTTTTTGAACAATTTCACCCACAATATCCAGGTAGTTTCATCAAAAAGTGCCTGAGCACTTAACCCAATATAGCACAACCAAAACAAGCAGTTGAAAGGATAACACTGCCATACATTGAAACATCCCAGAAACCATCAACAGACTCTTACAACTATGAGGCATCACTATAGCACACAAATCAAATAAGTTCTCCAAAACATCCTAAGTAAAACAAAAGACCCAGCAATTCCAGTAGAAAAAATGGGAACCATATTTTCCATGCAATTTAAGGGCTACAATAGCCAAACAGGCAGAAGACTTACAAAAGGCATCCATGGACGCCAACAAGCAAGCAGAAAACATGATGAAAATTCCTTAATTTCACATGAACAGACTTAACCATAGTTAATTACCAACCTACATACAAAATTGGAAGACCTTGAAGATTCAAAAGCTCTCCTAATTTTAAAGGGACATAACAATAAAAAAGATTTCATATTTCAACTGGCATGCAAATTAACTTACTACTTGGTGTATCTGCATTTCATCCCATCTCAAGCTATCCATTGCAAATGTTTTCTTCTTCATGCAATACCCATGACAACTACTGCAGCTGAAACACAAGTTTTCTCCATGCCACCATCCTTTTCACTCTCCCACAAAGAAATCTCCTATTTAGAAAAATGATGCAATGCTGACTGTGACAGGGAGACTGCAAAGTAAATGAGCACAGATGATCAAGCAATAGAATGCGATAGTTCATCTTATAAAAGTCTATCAGCCAAGTGAAACTGAGGAAGAAGCATTTCAAATGATTCAAAAAGACTGTCTTGACAAACTTAGTATAAATGATAATTGGAAATTCCTCTTGTAATTTCCATTACTCTGTATCTTCCCCCAAGACTAGCATTAAACATACTTTAGTCAAGTCTCTGTAATTTTTGTTTCTTGATATTGTGAGAATCTTTGTGGGGGCTTGATAATTGATATGTTTGCAAAGATGTTTCAACATAGGAAAATTAATTGTTGAATTGGGTATATGTAACAGCTGTTAATCAAACCTACAAAAATGTTTTGTTCATGGTATATATTGACATTCTTGAACTTTAGACGTTTGTGATTATGTAGCATATCTCCAATGTGAGCACTGAAAATGGCAAGATAGACTAAAACAGAAATATATATAATAGTATAATGGGGAGGAGAAAGAGGACAGTATTAATTCCCAATCATGAAAATGAATGACAGAAGACAAAATGCAAATTGTGATGTCATAATATGAGCTCTATTGTTTCACACTTGCATAATGGTGTCATATAAACGTATGTAAGGGACAGTGTTTTCATCACAACATTGCAATGTATGTTTTGTCACTTGCAGATTTCTATATGTGAAAAAAGAATTCAAGAATGAAAATGCTTACTTAAAGCCTAGTGGTTTGCTAGGTAATTTCATTGAACTAAAGCTTTTAAATGCCATAGGTATTACTAAAATAAGTATGATCTAAGGACAATCAGGAATCCCAAACTTCTCTGTATCGTCTCTGCATCTACAGGTGCAATGAACATTTTTAAACCATATGACAGTCAGATGGAATGAGATAACTTGACATGACTAGTGTTGCGCAGCCAGATCACCACCACCAGCTCGCCACTGACAATTCACCTCTGCCAATTTACTACCGCGAAGTTGCCACAGGACAACTTCACAGGGCTAACTCACCACAGGGTCAACTCGCCATGGGCAGTCAAAAGGAGAGCTGGATTGGCAGGTGAGTGAATGGGTGGGGAGAGTGCAGAGTGGTATCAGTGGTCAGGAGCTTCCCATTTTCACACCCCTTGGTATCATTGCTGCCAAGCTCAAGGCCAAAAAGACCAGGAGCAGCAGTGGTACTGGGCAGGGTGGGTGGGTGGATGCGGAGGGGGCATTGGCAGGGAGTGTGAAAATGAGACACCACTTGGCTGCTACTGTTGCACCACCCCCCACCCTGCCCACCACTACAGCTGATGTTCCCAGCATCTTCAGTCCAGAATTCAGCAGTGACAGGGATATGAAAATGGGAATCCCCTCAGTTGCCACCACCACTCTGCACTTTGCCCACTTGCTCATGCAGCTGGCTGGGTCTCCCTCTGGATGCCGGCAGTGAGTTGTCCTCACAGCGAGTTGGCTCTGTGGAGTTATCCTGTAATGGCTTGATGGTGAGTTGGCATAGGCAACTTGGGGGTGGTTGGCAGTGGTAAGCTGGCCATGCCAAACTGGCTTTGCCAAGTTGTTGTAGACTCACCGCCAGAAGGCATCCGGATGAAACTGTGCCTTCTTTTGGGTTTAATGGAAAAAGACTTGGAGGGGGGGGGGATGGAATGTCGATGGCAGCAAGGTTACTTTGTGCACCAAAATAGAAGGACACTTTGATTCCCATAATGGATGAATGGCTGCAAATGTTGATGGTGTTAGATGGCTAAATTGAGTGCTTTGATTAAAGAAAAAGACACAATTGCTTTTGTTTCTACTTGGAAACCACATCTGGCCTTTATGCTTGAGGTCGGGGGAAAATGAAACTTTTGATTTTGGGTTTCACTGATTAGATAGGCTTGTTATTACAGAAATGGCTAGTTTATACTACTACTGTATGTAAAAATAGAAAGTTCATGTTTGATGCTATTATCCTATTTTACTATACCAAAGAGAGTTCGAAGTCAACATCTTTTCTTTCTTTTTTCCCTTTTCCCTACACTTTCCCTTCCCTTCTCCCTCCCTTATTTTCCAATACTTTCTTTTGTATTTTTGTATTTTATATTATAAACTAATTTAAAAAATTATGAAATTGTGCTTTGCACCCATCTCTAGCTTTTCATAATGCTCATTATCAAATTATTCTTTTTTAATCTAGATATATTTATAAAATCACAATACAGTAACCACTAATAATCTTTCTTTTCTAAAAGTGGCTATGGAAGTTAAGTGGAATTCAAGAATAAATAAAGGGGAAATAAAAATGATCCTGCACGCCATTGCAGCCAAAGCCACAAAGATTGCAATTGCCATTTTGACTTATTTTAATACTACAGCCACCCCATTTTGAATATCCAGTCTGAAAAAAGAATAATGTAGATTTTAAAGTAAAAGTAATAAAAGGAATCTTTCCAATTGTAAAAATTTCATGTGGAGAAAAATGGGATTGAAAGTTACATCTGTGATCCTAAATCAAAGCATGTTCATTTCAATATAGTGAAGAAAAAATAGTGCCAAGCCTATTTATTGCTTCTTCTTTATTTCCTCTAACCCTAACCTTCATTTGCTCCCCATGTTTGCAAAATTAAGAAATCAGAGGAGAAGTAATTATAGGTTAAGACCAATATTATGAAACAATGTGCCTTTGGTCCTAAGGATTTGGCATGAAAGCTTTTAATACATTTTAGATCCTAAAGTTTCCATGAAGAAAACAATTATTTTGCTGGCTTGCAGCTATCAGATGCACTATTACTCTTGCATATAGTATAGGGCACACTATAGGGGTATGCCCTGTACTATATGCAAACGGGAGGCCTGCAGACCAGATGCATCACATGCAGAGCACGCCTACCTAACTCCACAAATGGCAAAAATATTGAGAAATGTCATGTGATGGCAATGTGACGCTACGAGTTTGACACCTGTGCTATAGATGTTAAGAAATTTTGTTTATTTTTCACTGTGTTCCCTAAGATGCTGTATTTCATTCAGTACAGAATGAGTTTCCACTTTCTGTTTTGTTGCATAGAAGTATAATGACTTCTCATCACTCAAGCAATGCAACCCTTCCTGATTATAAGTAAAGCAAGATTTATTTGCAATAAAATATGAATTAAAAATACATTTATATGGTTTGATTTTTTAAAAAATAAAACAGTTTGTAAATTAATTCCCCTTAGAATAGGCAGCATTTGTATTTCTAGTAATTGGCTAATGTGCAGAACTATCCTTTGACTTCTAAGCTGCCATCCTCTTTTTTATATGTTGTGTATGTGGGTATGACCTTGGAAGAGTGAAGGGAAGAGATGCTGCCTAAGCAAAAATTAGATAAGATGGGAAAGACCACAGCTACATAATGGGAAGAGATTCAGCCAATTTATCAGGCTGCAAAAAGAGATGGTGAGAGATTTGTACTTTTACATTTGCAAAAGTGGGGCAAATGGGATGCAATGAAGAAGAATCAATTACCCCACAGTTTTTCACGTTCCATATGGTCTGCTATACATTAGTTGTTGGGTAGACTCAAAAGAAGACAATCTCTCTCTTTAAAAACAGAGGTGACATATTAATAAGTATGATCCCTATTTTTCAGGTACAGAAATTCTCTAGTAAAAGTGGAGTGCAA